CCCCAGTAACAGAAGAAAAACGAACACACGCCATAAACATACACTTTTGGCGCGGAGCGCCAACAGTTTATGTTCATGGTGTCTTGCCTCGGGGGTGGACAAACCTCCCTTTAGTAAGCCTCCCCTTAGTGAAAACGGCCTGGGGCCGAATGCGACGGACCTGGACCCGCAAAAACGACGGCCGCGACGCCCTCTCGCGAACCGAAAACGGCCAATCCCACCAGCCCTCTGGGCGTAGGTGGTTTAGAGTGTTTCCTCTTCCACCCCTCCTTCCCCTTCGGGGAGGGGTTTACCACTGTTCCCTATTAGTAAGCACCCTCTCCCCCAGGCGACCGGGGGCCAACCCAGGTCCATGCCAACACCCCCCCACAATCCCTTGTAACAAACCATACAAAACACACCCCTCTGCCTCCAAATTCGGAACATGCGCAGCCAACCCGATGCGCCCCCCCCCCCCCCCCCCCACACACACCATCCCTTTGAAAAATCAATACAGAGTACACTTGGCAGAGGCGGCGGCGGCTGCGACGGCGGCGGCGGCGGCGGCGGCGGCGGTGGCAGCGGTGGCGGCGACGGCGGCGGCGGTGGCCGTGGCGGCAGCGGCTGCGGCGGCGGTGGCGGCAGCGGATTGGCCCCCAGTAGCTACCCATCCGAAGACGACTGTTGAATATGCTGAGGCTCGGGCCAGACTCGGGTGCTACGTATGTGTTGGGAGGGCGGGTGGGAGTGAGCGAGACGGCTTGCGGGCGGGGAGGGGGTCTTGATCACTGTTCCCTATTAATAAACACCCCCTCCCCCAGGCGACTGGGGGCCAACCCGAGTCCATGCCGACACCCCCCCACCATCCCTTGTAGAAAACCATACAAAACACACTCTGCCTCCAAATTCGGAACATGCGCAGCCAACCCGATGCGGCCCCCCCCCCACCATCCCTGTCAAAAACAATACAGAGTAACACTACCACTCTAGCGGCGGCTGCGGCGGCGCGGCGGCGGCCGGGCTGCGGCGGCTGCGGCGGCGGCGGCGTCGGCGCGGGGGCGGGGGGCTGCCGGCGGCGGCGGCGTCGCGGCTGCGGCGGGCGGCGGCGGCGGTGGCGGAGGGCGCAGCGTCTGCGGCGGTCGGTTCGCAGCGGGCGGCGGCTGCGGCGGCGCGGCGCGGCGGCGCGGCTTCGTCGGCATGCGCGGCGGCGGCGGCGGCGGGCGACGGCGCGGCGGGGGCGGGCGGCGGCGGCAGCGGCGGCGGCGGCGGCGGCGGCGGAGGAGGCGGCAGCGGCGGCGGCGGAGGCGGCGGCGGCGGATTGGCCCCAAGTAGCTGCCCATCCACAAACGACTGCTGAATATGCTGAGGCTCGGGCCAGACTCGGGTGCTACGTATGTGTTGGGAGGGCGGTTGGGAGCGAGCGAGACGGCTTACGGGCGGGGAAGGGGTAACTTGACCCCTCCCCCCACCCCCTCCCCTGGACCTGGACGGGGGGCGCCGAGAGCGGTCAGAGCGTCCAAGATGGCCCAAGACGGCTCCAAGAACGCCTCGGAGAGCCCAAGACGAGCTCCAAGGCGGCTCAAGATAGCCGAAGATGCCTCAAGATGGCTCCGAAGATGCTCCAAGATGCCCCAAGACCGCCCCCAAGACGGCTCCAAGATGCCAAATAGCTTTCCAAGGAGGCCTCCAAGAGGCAACACTCCTTCAAAAACCAATGGAAACCCAATGATTTGTGCTTTCTCGCCGTTTCGCTTCCGATGGCCATCCGAGGCCCAAGATGGCTCCAAAATGGCTCAAGAGAGCCCCAAGAGGGGCCCAAGAGAGCCCCACGACGGCCCCAAGAGCGCCCAAGAGCGCTCAAAGATGAGCCCAAGAGGCGATTTTTGGAGCTTCCGAGGGGGGTCGTAATTGACGCTCTCCTCCTGTTTGATCGATCTCCTCCAAGATGGCCCCAAGAGCGCCCCCAAGGCTCCCAAGAGCGCCCCAAGAAGGCCCCAAGAGGCCCCCAAGAGGCCCCAAGAGGCCCCCAAGAGGCCCCCAAGAGGCCCCCAAGAGACCCCCAAGATGCCCCAAGAGGCTCCCCGAGGCATCCAAGACGCTCCAAGACGCATCGGGGACCGCCAAGAGGCTCCCAAGACGCTTTAAGAAGCCTTCAGAACGCTCCCAAGAGACATCCGAAGAGACTCCGAGAGGCATCCAGTAGGCCTCTGGCCATTCTGCTCGCCCTTCTCCTCCTCCTCCTCCTCCTCCTCCTCCTCCTCCTCCTCCTCCTCCTCCTCATCCTCCCCCTCATTATCCTCCTGCTCCTGCTGCTGCTCCTCCTCCTCCTCCTCATCCGCCTATTCCTCCTCCTCCTCCTCCTCCCTCCTCCCTCCCCCCGCTCCCCCTCCTCCTCCTTCAGTTTCTCCTCCTCCTCATCCTCCTCCGATTCCTCTTCCATCCTCGCCGTCTTGGATAAGACGGGTTTTCCAGCCCTTGGTTACTCTGTGTGCTCCCTCACTTTCCTGATCACCTCCATTCGCCTGGGTATTCGCTGGTCGAGAGCCAGCAACATCAGCAGCAACAGCAGCAGAAGCAGTACCAGCAGGAGCAAGAGCACCAGCAACAACACATGCAACCTTCGCCACAAAAGATCTCCCGATTCACCGTTGTTGCCCGCTCGGTTTCACTATGTGCGTCTCTTCTTCCCTTCTTCCGTCAGCTCCCCTACGCATCGTTTGTGAATGAGCTGGTGGGGATACGCGTAGCGCCTAGAATTCCCTAATCGACGTGTCAGGGCAGGAGGTCTCAATCTCCGATATCTTCTTCGGAAGAAGGCCTTCACGACGGAGCCACCATACTTCTGCAGGAGGGCCCTCTTGAAGTCGGCAGCGGCCTCAGGGTCCGGCTGCTCCGCTAGCCACGCCGCGGGAGCCCAGGCGTCCATCCAGCGCAGGTCGCGCATGCACAGGCTGCCTGCCTCCTGCCAGTCCTGAAGGGGCCCTGAGACACACACATACACAAAACACACACACACACAGACAGACACACACACACACACCACACACACACACACACATACACAGAAATAACAGGATTCCCTATATATGGTCCAGGGCTTGGGCACCCCCCCATGCTGATGCCATTGGGCCCCCCCCCCCCCCGCGCGATGGTCCCCCCCTCCCCCCCCTGTGGGCGTGGCGTGGTGCTGCGCTGCGGTGCCCCCCTCCCCCCCCCTGTGGCTGTGGCGTGGTGCTGTGGTGGTTCAGAGGTTGGCGTGGCGTGGTGCTGCGCTGCGGTGCCCCCCTCCCCCCCCTGTGGATGTGGTGTGGTGCTGTGGTGGTTCAAAGGTCGTCGTCGTCGTCGTCGTCGTCGTCGTCGTCGTCCTCGTCGTCCTCGTCGTCGTCGTCGTCGTCGTCATCGTCGTCGTCGCCGTCATCATCGTCGTCATCGTCGTCGTCGTCGCCGCCGCCGCCAGCGTCGTCGCCGCCGCAGCCGTCGTCGTCGTCGTCGTCGTCGTCGCCGTCGTCATAGTCGTAGTCGTCGCCGTCGCCGTCGTCGTCGTCGTCGTCGTCGTCGTCGTCGTCTCTGGGACCATACCATCTTGGGGGGTGGGGGTGGCCCGAGGAATCCTGGGACCATACCATCTGGGGAGGGGGGCGGGGGGCCCGTGGGCCCGGAGCCCGGGATCATATATTCTATATTTTCGGGGTTCTTGTCTTCCCCCCCACTTCCCTTTCCAAGGGATCGACGATTAATTGTGTCTGTGTGTTTTTTCCCTCCTGCCAGTCCAGGAGGTCGAACACCACGGGGGCATCGTACTGGCAGCCCAGCTTGGTACTGGCGGCCCCCCAGGCCGCCCTGCTGAGCCTGCCAACGGACGTGTCACACTCACGGGCCTGCGGACTGAATCACCTGGCCGGCTCCAGAAGCCCTGCATCCAAACACGTCTTCATATCCTGGGAGGCCTTTTTTACTTCCACGGCCTTCCGCCGAGCTTCCGCCGGCTTCCGCCGACGGAGGTGGGCTTGTTTTGCTTCCGCCGACCTTCCGCCGCGGAAGATATGACAACTCCTCCTTCGATCCTCGAAGGCAAGGCCTTCTTGGAACGCCCCAAGTGTGCCCATAGCTGTTCTGAAGACTGACGAGTCCCGTGCGATGCCCCCAACCTCCGAACACGATGTCCTTAACGCTTGCAAGAGCCCCTCCTGTTTGCCAAAGATATCCAATTGTGCGCGCCTGCCCAGAGCTGTAAAGCAGACTCCGCCAATCCTCGTTACTTGTCCAAGCCCTTTCCTTGACAATGGAGAACTAGTCATGGTGGAGGACGACAGCACAACTGAGCGTCAGTGGACAAATGTTTGCTAAAACTACGGTGAGGGCGTTCACTAAGGAACCATTGCATGAGGAATTCAGGGTCCGGAAACCAGGGGAACTCCAGAAGCGGAGTCGCAATGGATATCACCACCGCACCCCCCAGATACGGAATCCTCCAGGGCCTGAAGCCTCCTGGGCACATTCCTGGAGGAGGAGGAGGAGGAGGTGGAGGAGGAGGCGGAGGAGGAGGAGGCGAGGAGGAGGAGGAGGAGGACGCCCCCAGACGTTCCTACGTTCCTTTGCCCAGAGGATTGTTCATGCTCAAGTACCTCCTACAATACACATGTGCCCTGGGACGGTGTGCCTCCTGTGGTCCTCCTCCTCCTCCTCCTCCACCTCCTCATCCTCCTCCTCCTCCTCCTCCTCCTCCTCCTCCTCTTGCGCGCCCACTCGCTGGCGGCCCGCATCGCTTCGCCAGCGCAGCTGCCAGAACGCTCATTCCAAGCGTGCCCGCTTGCGGGCTGCGGCCATCACGTTGCCGGTGCTGTTGCCAGGAACCTCGCTCCGGGACTCCGAACGTGCTCGCTCGCTTGCGGCGCACGTCGCGTCGCGCCAGGAGGAGGAGGAGGAGGAGGAGGAGGAGGAGGAGGAGGAGGAGGAAGAGGACGAAAAGGAGGAGGAGGAGGAGGAGGAGGCCCCCGTCGTGCCCCCTCGCGTCCAGCAGCCGTCGTGGTGCAAGCGTTGTGGTCGGCATGCAAGCCGCGGGCCTCGCTCCGAGCGTGGGGAGGCGCGGCTCGCGCCGCCGGTACCGCTGCCGAGCAGCGTGCCGGGAGGCTCACTCTCCAAGCGTGCCCGCCTGCGGACTGCAAGCATCTGCCAGTGTCGATCCCAGGATTGAAAGGGCCTTGGGACACGGAAGTAGATGCGCACAAATGACGGGATTCCCCAAATCTTCCCCTTTTTTCTGTGCTTGTGTCTTCCCCCCACTTTCCATAGTTTCCAAAATTTTCGGGGGAATCGACGATTCATTGTGTCCGTGTGTTTTTCCCTCCCGACCAATGTCGATCCCATGATGCAGGTCGGGAAGCTCAATCCAAGCCTTCCCGCTCGCTTGCGGCGCGTACCGCGCTGCCAGCGCTGTTGCCAAGAAGCTCGCCAGAGAGCCCACGCTCGCTCCGCGCGTCCGCTCTCGGGCCATGCGCATCGTGAACACAGGCTCCCGCGGCTTGTTTACCGTTTACCTCAGTCTGCGCACCTTGGGGCCCCCAGAGCGCCTGGTCAGCGCATCAGCGAAAACATGCCCCAGAGGCTTGTTTTCTGAAGTTTCATTGCTCCCGTGCCCACCTACCTGCCCACCTTTGGCTACAAGCCCGCCTTGCCAGCACGCACGCCGAAACAAGTCCCAATGGTTTGTGTAGATCTCAACGGGAGCCGGGGGAACCTGGCCAGGGGTCCGACCAGACCTCTGGAGGCCGAATATGTCTCAAAGATGGGCCAAGGCATCTCCAAGACGGCCCGGCATGACCCCACGACGACCCAAGCGAGCACCAAGATGACCGAGGACAACTCCCAAGACCACCTGCGGCAGTCCAACCACAGTCCCGCCGAGAAGCCCTGACCAGTCGAAACATGGTACTGCTTCTCTGGTTTCCTTCTGAATTTCGCATGCTCGCATTTCTCGACGTCCTAGCGCCCACTACGGTTGGGGCATTGGATGAGGAACCCTTAGGTAAGGAATCCAGGGTCTGGAGGCTGGTGGAACTCCAATCCAAGCGTGGCCATGGGCCATGGATATCACCGCCGCCCTCATCAGATAAGGAGGAATCCTCCAGGGTCTGACGGTCTGTAGCCTCCTGGGCGCATTCCTTAACCAACGCCCCCACCGTATAGCCCATCAGCCGTCCGATATCGCCCGGGCCCCAAGTGGCGACTCAGATCGGGGCAAGCCCGTCCGACAGGGGTCCACGACGGCCCAAGAGGGGCCCTGGAGGGGCTCCAGGCGGCCCAGGAAGGCTTCCAGACAGCCCAGAAAGGGCCCCAAATGATCGCAGAGAGCCTCCAAGCTCCCACGAATCCCCTAACACGACCCGACAAATACTCTCAGATACCTCCAATACGTACCAGGATGCTGCCAAGTAGGCTCCCAAACGCCCTCAGAAGACCACGGCCTGGAAACTGCAAGGGGCCTCGGGCTTCTCGCGGACCTCGAAAACTACAAAACAGCAACGGCTCGATGCTGTCGGCATTCGCTGCTACGGATCGACTAAGAGGAAGGGGGGACGCCTACTCCCTCCCCCCCTCCAACTCCCCTCGAGTAGGCGCTGGTATTCAACCCCACGGCCCTCTCCCCCCGCCGTTCCCCCAACCCTGCTCGGGAAAGGGCGAGGAAGAGGAGGAGGAGGAGGAGGAGGAGGAGGAGGATGAGGAGGAGGTGGAGGAGGAGGACGGGGGTGAGGAGGAGATCTCTCCTGGCCCCTCTCGTTGGCGACGGCGCGCGACGAGGGCTGTGCGGGGGGCGGGGGGTGGGGGGGCTTTTGACGGGGAAGAGAGATCCTCCTCCTCCTCCTCCTCCTCCTCCTCCTCCTCCTCCTCCTCCTCCTCCTCCTCCTCCTCCCCCTCCCCCTCCTCCTCCTCCTCCTCCTCCTCCTCCTCCTCCTCCTCCTCCTCCTCCTCCTCCTCCTCCTCCCTGGGCAGGGGGATGGGGGGGGGCGGCTTCTGAGAGGGCTCCCCAAGGCAGGAGGGCTGCCCGCCAAGAGGCGGGGGGCGCCTCCCGAACTGCTGCCCCCGTCGCCCTGCCCGCGCGCGCCGACGCCGACCATCTCCCCCATCCCCCCTCTCCCCGTTGTCCCCCCGCGAAGGGGGAGCCCGGGCGACAAGGACACATGGGGGTGGTGTTAGTTAGAGAACCTCGGGGGTCAAAGTGGGGAAAGGGTAGATTGCAACACCGTTGCTGAATCTAGGGTTTACACTGGTCCTCCTCCTCCTCCTCCTCCTCCTCCTCCTCCTCCTCCTCCTCCTCCTCCTCCCCCTTCTAAGACGAAGCCAAGACAAGAACAACTTCGGGTAAGGATAGATCGAGAATATCTGAGATCCGGCGGGTCTCCCGGACCCTTTCGCGTTGTGAACAAATCTCGACAGGGGTCGTTTCTATATTTTCGGCCTCTGGGGGCTCTCACGCCTCGGGACCGTCAATTACTGCGGCGTACCCAACCCTTTCTATACACGTGGCTACAGTCGGGACCACTCAATGATGCTGACGGGCATGCTGAAAAGCCCGCAGTGCGGAAGAAGAGCACCCATCAGTGAACTCACAAGAGAACAGCAAGAAGGGCAGCGGCAACGCGTAAGACGTACCTCTGCTGGGCCTCCCAGGAGCCCACGAAAGTGGCGACAGTTGCGCAGATCGCAGCCCCCCAGGGCACCGCGAGGTCTCGAGGTGGTCCGCGTGGGACGTACCTCTGCTGGGCCTCCCAGGAGCCCACGAAAGTGGCGACAGTTGCGCAGATCGCAGCCCCCCAGGGCGCCGCGAGGTCTCGAGGTGGTCCGCCTTGGACGTACCTCCGCTGGGCCTCCCAGGAGCCCACGAAAGTGGCGACAGATGCGCAGATCGCAGCCCCCCAGGGCGCCGCGAGGTCTCGAGGTGGTCCGCGTGGGACGTACCTCCGCTGGGCCTCCCAGGAGCCCACGAAAGTGGCGACAGTTGTGCAGATCGCAGCCCCCCAGGGCACCGCGAGGTCTCGAGGTGGTCCGCGTGGGACGTACCTCTACTGGGCCCCCCAGGAGCCCACGAAAGTGGCGACAATTACGCGGATCGCAGCCCCCCAGGGCGCCGCGAGGTCTCGAGGTTGTTCGCGTGGGACGTAACCTCCGCTGGGCCTCCCAGGAGCCCACGAAAGTGGCGACAGTTGCGCAGATCGCAGCCCCCAGGGCACCGCGAGGTCTCGAGGTGATCCGCGTGGGACCACCTCCGCTGGGCCTCCCAGGAGCCCACGAAAGTGGCGACAGATGCGCAGATCGCAGCCGCCCAGGGCACCGCGAGGTCTCGAGGTGATCCGCGTGGGACGTACCTCGGCTGGGCCTCCCAGGAGCCCACGAAAGTGGCGACAGATGCGCAGATCGCAGCCCCCCAGGGCGCCGCGAGGTCTCGAGGTGTTTCGCGTGGGACGTACCTCCGCTGGGCCTCCCAGGAGCCCACGAAAGTGGCGACAGATGCGCAGATCGCAGCCCGCAGGGCACCGCGAGGTCTCGAGGTGGTCCGCGTGGGACGTACATCCGCTGGGCCTCCCAGGAGCCCACGAAGGTGGCGACAGTTGTGCAGATCGCAACCCCGAGGGCGCCGCGAGGTCTCGAGGTGATCCGCGTGGGACGTACCTCCGCTGGGCCTCCCAGGAGCCCACGAACGTGGCGACAGTTGCACAGATCGCAGCCCCCAGGGCACCGCGAGGTCTCGAGGTGATCCGCGTGGGACGTACCTCTGCTGGGCCTCCCAGGAGCCCACGAAGGTGGCGACAGATGCGCAGATCGCAGCCGCCCCCATGGCACCGCGAGGTCTCGAGGTGGTTCGCGTGGGACGTACCTCCGCTGGGCCTCCCAGGAGCCCACGAAGGTGGCGACAGATGCGCAGATCGCAGCCCCCAGGGCACCACGAGGTCTCGAGGTGATCCGCGTGGGACGTACCTCGGCTGGGCCTCCCAGGAGCCCACGAAAGTGGCGACAGATGCGCAGATCGCAGCCCCCAGGGCACCGCGAGGTCTCGAGGTGATCCGCGTGGGACGTACCCCGCTGGCCTCCCAGGAGCCCACGAAAGTGGCGACAGATGCGCAGATCGCAGCCCCCAGGGCACCGCGAGGTCCCGAGGTGATCCGCGTGGGACGTACCTCCGCTGGGCCTCCCAGGAGCCCACGAAAGTGGCGACAATGCGCAGATCGCAGCCCCCAGGGCACCGCGAGGTCCCGAGGTGATCCGCGTGGGACGTACCTCCGCTGGGCTCCCAGGAGCCCACGAAAGTGGCGACAGATGGCGCAGATCGCAGCCCCCCAGGGCACCGCGAGGTCTCGAGGTGATTCCGCGTGGGACGTACCTCCGCTGGGCCTCCCAGGAGCCCACGAAAGTGGCGACAGATGCGCAGATCGCAGCCCCCCAGGGCACCGCGAGGTCTCGCGTGGGACGTACCTCCGCTGGTCCGCGTCCCGAGGTGATCCGCGTGGGACCCACCTCCGCTGGGCCTCCCAGGAGCCCACGAAAGTGGCGACAGTTGCGCAGATCGCAGCCCCCAGGGCACCGCGAGGTCCCGAGGTGATCCGCGTGGGACGTACCTCCGCTGGGCCTCCCAGGAGCCCACGAAAGTGGCGACAATTGCGCAGATCGCAGCCCCCCAGGGCACCGCGAGGTCTCGAGGTGATCCGCGTGGGACCCACCTCCGCTGGGCCTCCCAGGAGCCCACGAAAGTGGCGACAGTGCGCAGATCGCAGCCCCCAGGGAGCAGGGGTGATCCGCGTGGGCTGGGCCTCCCAGGAGCCCACGAAAGTGCGACAGAGCGCAGATCGCAGCCCCCCAGGGCACGCGAGGTCCGAGGTGATCCGCGTGGGACGTACCTCCGCTGGGCCTCCCAGGAGCCCACGAAAGTGGCGACAATTGCGCAGATCGCAGCCCCCCAGGCACCGCGAGGTCTCGAGGTGTCCGCGTGGGACGTACCTCCGCTGGGCCTCCCAGGAGCCCACGAAAGTGGCGACAGATGCGCAGATCGCAGCCCCCCAGGGCACCGCGAGGTCTCGAGGTGATCCGCGTGGGACGTACCTCCGCTGGGCCTCCCGGCAGCCCGACGGCACGAGAGAAGAGGAGAGGGGAACACAAGAGACAGGAGAGGAGGAGGGGGGGGAGGGGGGAGGAGGAGCAGGACGGGGCGACCACACTGCTCTATTCAAAACGAGTACCCAACCATAGGAGTGTTGGGAAAAAGGAAGTCGAGATGACAAACCGGTCCTGGGGAATGGGTCCTGACCTCTGGGGGTCGCGTCGTGAAACAAATCATGACCCGGGGGTCTGGGCTGGAGGATGTCTCAGGCGCCGCGGCCTTCTCAAAGCGTTCCGGAACGCTCCCAGAGCATGTCTGGACAGCTCTGGAACGGACTTGTCCTCGTCTCAGCCCCCGTCCGACCTTCCCCCCATCCTGCCGCCGTCTTCCGGCGGCCTCCCGCCGGGGCCCTTCACCTTCGCAGCCGACAGCAATGCGCGGAACTGCCTCAGGACGCTTCCGTAGCGCTCCACGGCCGCGCGCCTGAAGATCGCCAGGGGGCGGGCCTCGGAAGGAGACGGAGGGGAAATGAGTTGGAGGATGGAGGAGGGAAACAAATAGTGATTTTGCCTCTGCGTCTGCCTGGGCACCCTTTGCCTTCGTTCAGGTGTGTCAACGTTTTGACCTTCGTGTGCTTCGGACAATCGACCAGGGGAGGAGAAGGAGGAAGACGATGATGATGACGAAAGAAGAAGAAGAGGATGAAGAGGAGGAGGAAACGGAAGAGATTGGACAGGAAGCAGGAAGGACATGGGGGGGAGGCTGGCGAGGAGGAGGCGGAGAAAAGAGGAGAAGACTGGATGGAAACGAGGAGGAGGACGAGGAGCAGGAGGAGGAGGAGGAGGAGGAGCAGGAGGAGGAGGAGGAGGAGGAGGAGGAGGAGGAGGAGGAGGAGAGGGAGGAGAGGGAAAGGAGGAGGGGGAGGAAGAGAATGAGGACCAGGAGGATGAAGTGGGCGACGACGATGCCGAGAGGGAGGAATTGGAGGAGGAAGGGGAGGAGCAGGATTAGGGAGAGCAGGATGGGGTGAGGAGAGGGGGCGGGACAACATGGAGGGGGAAACAGTGGGAGGACAAGGATGCCGATGAGGAGGGTAAGTGTTTTTGGCCAGAGGATCTACAGTGTCTGCAAAACCACCCAACCAAGGTGATGTATCTCCCCCATCTTATTATGGCTCGGGGGGTTCTCTTCCGGAGGACATCGTGCATGGCATGTCCCTTCGTGTTGACCGAAAAAACTGCAGCAGCGCGCTGGGATGTTGGCGCCCTCTTTTTCCCAACGACCGAAGCGCAAACTACGTTCCCAAGTCATATTCACCGACCGCCGCCTTTGATGGGTAAACGAACGGGAGTGAACGTGATCTGCTGCGTGTAAGGATGAATATAAGGTGAACTAGGAGGAAGAACAGCACGGGTCGGGGATCTACTGGCCCGGGTCAGTCCAGACCCTGCAAGGCCCTGCAGGATCCTGCATGGTCCTGCACCTAAGCCCGGGTCTATGTGCCCCTTGCCCTGCAGGATCCTGCAACATCCAGCGCTCTGACTGACCTCCGTTTACTTTGACCCCGTCTCTTGAGCACCGAACGGGGAGCAGGATGAGGTGCCGGCGCAGAGGCTAGTACTTGTACAGTCGATCGGAGAGGCCCGCTGCAGCCACTATGGAGGGCAGGAAATCCACCTCCATGATAATCACCCCGGCACGCGAAGCCGTTTAGTAAACGCACCCACAGAAGGAATCGAACAAGGCAGGACTGTTTAGTAAACGCCCAGGGCCTTTTAGTAAACGCCAGTAATTGGGTCTGGGTGGTTCTTCCTCCCTTGACACTCGCCCAGTGGCCTCCCCTGCCCCCCTGCTCCCGCAGCCTCATCCCCTCCCCCCTGCCGCTCTTGCACCCTCCCAGCCCGAGCGCAGCAGCGCAACGGGGTCAGGCAAATGACGAGCGGAGACGTCCTGGCCAGACACACACACACAATCACACACACACACACACGACGCACACGACGCACAACGCACAAACGCACTAACACGGCACCCACAAACGCACGCAATACACCCGCGTACACCCCACAAACAGACCCACATACACACTTACGACCAAGCACACGTTCAAGCAAAAGCAAACACTGACGTACACACAAACACACGTATACACAAACATACATTCCACAATCAAACACAACACACACAAACACGCATGCACAAACCCACAGACACAAACCATCACACACACAACCACGTACGCATACTTTGTTTGGCGTCGCGGCCCTGCGCGCAACAGGGCGTAGGAGGTCTAAACCCGCCGCGGCCCAGAGGGACACACACACACACGTGGACGTATACACACAGAGGCACACACAAACAGGCACACACAGTCTCACACAGACACACACATACATACGGACACACACACACAAACCCAGACACACCTGGA